AGAGAGTGCATCTGCTGGCTGAGTGTTTCTGTATCTTCCTGCTCCATCCTGTCCGTGGGCTGGCCTGCGGCACATTCTGGCACCACTCTCAAAGTGGGGAACCGACATCACAACCATGACGGCCGGGTTTCTCTAAAACAATCAGAGAAAACCGGGAAAACCACCAAAAGTCATCAAGAATCCCTAGTTTCTAGTGTATAGTATTGCAAAGTCTAATATTCCCGTAGTGTATCGTCTCAATTCAACGGCCATTTTGGGGACAGCACTTGGCCTGGAATGCCAAGTTTGAAGAGATCACCGAGGCGCGTGATGTTGGATGCCTGACGCTGGTCAGAGATATCCTACCAGAAACATCCAGAAACCAATATAAACCATATCAGCGTATAGGAAAACTCCTTAGGTAAACCATAAGTATCCATAGCTAACCTAGGTCTAAACCAACTTCGCGATCTGGGATCCCTCACCTTTGCCAAACCCGCTACAAGTATGCATAAACAGATTGATTGTGATGTGAGGAGTTTTGAAGGACATACCGTGACATATCCCTCACCGACATATCCCTCACCAGTTGCACCAGTTTCTACACACACACAAACACACATACACACCGTTGTAAACCCTACCCAACACAGTGTCGGCTGCTCATCTGCTGAACCGCCTCACCGGCAGTGTCGGTGGTCAGGTGGCTCTTCCTGGGTTCATAGCGGTTTCATGTCTTTCATATGCGCAGGGGATCAGAAGACTCCTGAAGGCCCTGCAGTTCATCCGGCCGTCATGGCCAAGGCACTTTCGAGATGGGCGTGTGATCTTCTTGGGTGAAGCAAGTTCTCGAACCCATCGTGCCTGGTCACGGAAATGACCAAAACGGACAAAGTATGAAAAGTTAAAGGTGGCAGACTGCAGTTGTCGGTCAAGTTGTTCAGTACGTCATCATGTTTTTGTGTAACACATGGTCCCACCTACTTGCATCCCACGCAAGTGGCTCATAACCCATGTATAACCCATATATCATATATGTGGGGTATAAACCATTTACTAAGTCGGAGGCACCCCCTACTAGGCATCTAAATCTACAGGTACTGAGTGGGCGTGAGGGCCAAAGCTGAGAACCCCCGCGTCCACTTTATGCTGTTTTCCTTGCGCAGTGGCTGCGGAGAACCCCTTGCCTGCCTGTCTGGTGTGCAGTTCATTAAGTTTCCAAAGAGTACTTACCTGTTACATGTGTTGCAAACGTATATATGCAAATGTTCTGAACTTTACTACAGGTCAGTATGTGTGCGTTCGAAGGAAGTTTAGAAGTCAAACTTCCGACAACATGGACAGATGAAAAGCAGAGGTGGTAAGAGTCAAAGAAGAGAAGTATTCGATTGAAAATTTTGGGAAACGTCCATACTCTTTTCTGCAATGCTACACCTGTGCCGTGACGCACTGGTAGGACAAAAGTTGCGCTTGTTGAGCTTCCCACAGTGAACATGTTTGGTTTCTTCTTCTGCACACCCTTTCCCCTTAGAATCCTAGCATGGAGCTTTGTTGTACCCCGGTCGAATTTCCACCCTCCAAAAGCTTTTAATCTTATAGATTTAAAAGCGGGTGATAATTGACCGTCCCACACCTGCCACACGAAATGGACTTGGAAATGTGATCCGCGGTTGACCGAGATGGATGCTTTGTCAAGCTTTCAAGAAGCATAAACTTTGTTCCTCCTGAAGGGTAAAAAAGCTTGTTCAGTGGGAATTGTCAAGCTTGGTCATCATACTCCACATAAAATATCTGTATCCTCTGGTTTCTGTGCCCTTACCTTCTTCATTGTTGCCATGGTGTCTCATTTGCAACTGTATGAGAAGAGCAGCAGAGAGAAAGAGTGAGAAGAAAGAGGATGCAGGCACACGAAAAGGTAGGAAAGTCGCGAAACACTGTGTTTTTCCAATGATTTGAGGCTGCGGAGGGTCGAAAAGTAGGCTCGCTAAAGCGGCGGGTGCGGAGCCAGCTGGCCACATGAGAGATGAAAAATTGCACGTCGTTGTGGCACGAAGCACATTTCCAAGTCAAAATGTACAAAACACACCATGCTCGGACCACTTTTTGGAAATTGAGATGTCAAAAAAGTGCACGCCATTGTGGCGCGAAGCAAATTTCGAAGTCGAAAAGCACAAAAAAACACCATGTCCGGACCACTTTTGGAAGTTGCGATATCTAAAAATTGCACGCCGTTGTGGCGCGAAGCACATTTCCAAGTCAAAATGCACAAAACACACCATGTTCGGACCACTTTTGGAAGTTGCGATGTCGAAAAAGTGCACGCCGTTGTGGCGCGAACCACATTTCGAAGTCAAAATGTTAAAAAAGGTAGGGGTTCGGACCACTTTTGGAGGTTGAGATGTCGAAAAAGTGCACGCCGTTGTGGCGCGAAGCACATTTCGAAGTCAAAATGTACAAAACACACCAGATTCGGACCACTTTTGGACGTTCAGATGTCGTTTCGCGTGGCAGGTGCAAGGGATTGTGGACCTTGTCAAAAGTGGGCAAAACATGAGGGTTTTGTGGCATTTCCAAAAACGATGGCAGGCGTGGGACATTTGAAGAGGATCTGACATGTTCATCAGAGCTGTTAGGAGGTCCGGGCGCTGAGATGATTTTGCGTGACAGGTGCAGCACTTCGTATGACCCGGTATCACTTTTTCGTGGCAGGTGCGGTAGTTTAGACAGGTGGAGTCGAGAAATCGCAAAACGCATTGGCACGAGGCCGTCAGCTTTGCACTCAACTTTCCATTTTTGAAGGAGGTCTCGCAGAATTGCTTCGTTTTTGATGTTGCCAACTTAAAAACATGAGGAAGTCTCGCAGAATTGCTTCGTTTTCGACGTTGTCAAGTGCAAAAAGTGAGGAAGTCTCGCTGACTTGCTGTGTTTTTGATGCTGTCAAGTTCAAAAACTGAGGAAGTCTCGCAGAAGAGCTTCGTTTTCAAGCTTGCAGATAGATAGATAGATAGATAGATAAATAGATAGATCGATCGATCGGTCGATAGATGGATAGATAGATGGATGGATGGATAGATAGATAGATCGATCGATCGATCGGTCGATAGATAGATAGATAGATGGATGGATGGATAGATAGATAGATAGATACACAGACAGCCAGGCAGGCAGGCAGGCAGGCAGGCAGACAGACAGACAGACAGATAGATAGATAGATAGATAGGTAGATACATAGATAGATAGATAGGTAGGTAGGTAGGTAGATAGTCAGAAAAAGAGAGAGAGAGAGATTGATAGATAGATACATAGATAGATAGGTAATTAGACGAAAGAGAGAGAGAGAGAGAGATATATATATATAGAATATAGATAGATAGCTAGATAGATAGATAGATAGATAGATAAATAGATAGATCGATAGATCGATAGATCGATAGATCGATAGATCGATAGATCGATAGATCCATAGATCCATAGATCCATAGATCGATCGATCGATCGATCGATCGATAGATAGATCGATCGATCGATACATAGATAGATAGATATACAGAAGAGAGAGAGAGAGAGAGAGAGATAGATCGATAGATAGATCGATAGATCGATAGATCGATCGATCGATCGCTAGATAGATAGGTAATTAGATGAAAGAGAGAGAGAGAGAGATAGATCGATAGATAGATACATAGATAGGTAGGTAGGTAGGTAGGTAGATAGTCAGAAAAAAAGAGAGAGAGAGAAAAAAAAAGAGAGGAGACTTCAACCACCTTTCGATCCATCAGTGGCTTCGCTCTGCCATCCGTGATTCACAACAACCAACCTCTCCTATAGGTTTCCTATTTTTGAAACTTCCGCCACCGCCTTGTGCGGTACTACTGGTATAAATTTGTATACATATATATATATATATATATAATTGTATATCTTTGACTACTCAATGGCAAACCTATGGCTTTCCAAACAACCAACATGCGGGCTTCTCCGGATGCTCCTTGTAGGCCCTTTGCTGGGTCTGGCGAGTGCATGTGGATGGAATGGGAATAGAGTTCGTTCCTAGACTTGAATTCAGGGTACTGCTCTGTCCCTGCCTTCAAATTCACCAACAACAGCCTGAGCAGTTGCACCAAGTACCAAATTGCTTTGCAGACAAGATATGCGTTGCTGGTCATTCATTCCACATTGACGTTCACATTCCCTATTTCCATTCATGAGCTGAAGATGATTACTCGAAGATCATCCAATAGTTCGACAAGTTCGACACTCAAAACTCCTGAAACATCATACGTTTAGATCCCCTACATATGAAGGTTTGAATGGGAACATCATCAAACTAAATGGGGCGTTCAAAATTTTGCCAATCAAACCGTGTTTGACTACGGGAAGGTAAATCCAGTAAGTATCCATGAATATCTCATCATTATCCCATTCTCCCATCATCCCATTTCTCAAAGCTTTTCCGCATCTGGGCTCCAAAACCCATGGATCCTCCCGACCAGTGGGGGATGCCGGAGCACTCCCCGGCCGAGGTGATCCAGGTTCACCAGAACCTGAGTCTTGAGTGAAAGTGGTGTGCTGGTGCATCATCTTTCATCATCCCAAGGTGCTGATGCAGTAAGCCTATATGTACATACATATATATATAGTATATATAATATATCTATATTACATATATATACATATATTGTATCTATATTGTGAAAGCCAGGCCAGTTCACATGTGCTTGAGGTCATTCCCTCATGGAACCAGGGGGTTCTTCCAGAAACCAGTTGTTGCCGCAGCCTCTGGGCTGGAGGGAGGGATTAGCTTGAGCAATAGCGCTATCAGTGACGCTTAGCGGATACAGCTGTGGCCAGCTGTGGGTGCGTTGGACTGATTGCAGGTCGTGGCTTCGCATTGGGCAAAACAGGAGTTTGCATTGCTGGACAGGGTTCCAACTGGGATCAGTGATTGGAAGTGAACAAGCTACCAGTGTCAATCTGACATTGGTAGCGGAGCTACCTGGCGATCAGGCGCCACAGAATTCATGACTGAATCATCTGGAGGACAGGCTGGAACTGATGGGGGTGGAACCATCTCGAATCAGCTTGCGCTGTTAGTGCCTTCGTTTGATCCTGCAAGTGACAATGTGGACATTTGGTCCAGCAAGGTTCACCTACTGCTTGAAGCATGGCCCCAGACCAAAATCCTGGAGCTCATCACCCGACTGATCCTCAACACAAAGGGATCAGCCTACCAGAAGCTTCATTTGCATCAAAAGGACCTCTTGGTGAATGACCGTAAAGGGGTTCAGAAACTGGTGGAATTGGTTGGGGGCACCTGGGGACAGATTCCCCTTGAGCATCGTTTTGAGTTGGTGGAAAAGGCCTTGTATCGATGTCAGCAGAAGCCTGACGAGACAGGTGACAGTTTCATCGCCCGTGTTGATGTGGTTTGGACTGAGCTTTTGACCAAGGACGTTGACATGGATCAGATTCGATCGTATGTTTTGCTTCGTGGCAGCCGCCTTTCAGCTGAAGACAAAAAGCGCGTGTTGGTGGAGTCCGGAGCTGAACAAATTGGACAGAAACTGGAATGGAAGAAGGTCGTAGCAGCCATACGCATGTTAGGTTCATCTTTCTTTCAAGACTACACGGGTGCCAAACGAGAAAAGAACATGAAAACCTATGACCATTTGGCTTTCAATGTTGATGAAGTAGAAGAGGATGAAGAACATGACACGTATTGGACTGTTGATGATCCACTGGATGATGAAACCTTAGCACAGTTAGCCGATGACAATGATGAAGATGCTGCTATGGTGGTACAGTTTGCGGACGCAGTGACAGAAGCAGTGCAGAGTGATGCAGACCTAGCTGCCTACTTTTCCTCATATCAGGAGGCACGTCGCCGCCTGACAGAACGTGCCAAATTCAGAGGATTTTGGCTCGTGAGAAAAGGAGGGAAAAGTGGGGGCAAGAAAGGTTTTGGAAAAGGAGGCGGAAAAGGAAAGTCACTAGCACAGAGGATAGCTAATTCTACGTGCAGACTGTGCGGGAAAAAGGGTCATTGGAAGGCCGAATGTAGCCTTCGTCAATCAGCCTCGTCCACTGGCCCTCCAAGTGATGGATCAACAGTTCCGATTTCCATGGCGGTCGTCGACGATGTGCCAACAGAGATCCCGCCCGAGATCTCCCATTTGCCTGAGATGAGATTTCCCGAGCCTTTGCCAGATTGTGCAGCCGCATGTTTTGGGGTAATCACGGGAAATAAACTTGGGAATAATTGGAATAATGATAAGGGTAAGAAATGGGGATTTAAATCACATGTTATGTCACGCATCCGAATGGCCCTCAGGAATGAACTGAGCATTCGTGCCAACCACCGTGATGCTGCGCAGCCAAAGTCCCATGATGTAAAGTGTCCCTCGACGTCTCACATGCATGATCGGAAAGATCACCCGGCATCCAGTGTGATTTCACATGACATACACTTTGCGTCATCAGGTACCCATGGCATTGTTGATTTAGGTGCTTCACAGACAGTGATTGGAAGCCATCAGGTGACAGAACTTTTGCAGGGTCTTCCCGAACAGATCCGAAAGCAAGCACACCGTGCACCATGCCACTTAGTGTTTCGATTTGGTAATCATCAGACGCTGACGAGCCAACATGCACTTGTGCTCCCGATCCAAAAGGGATGGTTCCGAATTGCAGTTGTTCCAGGTCCAACACCTTTTTTACTGTCAAGTGCGTTTTTGAAAGAGATTCAAGCTGTGATTGACACTGAAGAGGGAACCATGTGGAGTAAGGCCTTACGGAAGTTTCTCACTCTTGAAAGATCTCCAAAGAATCTGTTCTTAATGAATTTGAATCAACTTTGGGATGATAGTTTTTCTGGTGAATCAGGTGAGACCTCTTGCATGGCTCAGACTGAAATTGACCGTGGTGCCAAAATGACAGTCAAACAGCCGCAGGGAAGCCTTAGGGGTAGTGAGCTCAACTTGACAGACCAATCATCTCCGCTTGAAAGTTCAGTCAGTTGCCATGAAACAGTTTTGAGAACCCACTTGCCGGTGAGCCCGTCACCATCATGTCCGACTGACTCAGCAGTGTGTGGTCCAAAGATCAACGCAGAACGTGACTCAACACCGGGGGAACATGACGTCCCTGGCTTTGCAGCTCAAGGAGTACAACAAGTCGCAGAAGAAGCAGATCTCTCGAGAGGTCGTGAGTGCCATGACTCTGGAAGAGTTAGCCAGCGAGAAGATCACCTTCGGAGAGTCAAAGAAGGGTATGACCTATGCTCAGGCGTTCGAGGACGCACAATGGACCGAGTTCATTTTGAACAGGTTCGAGATGAGCGACAAACCAGAGCACATGATGTTTGTGCAGTATGTCCGTCTGCGCCTGAAGGATGTCCAGGTGAAGACCAAAACCAGCAACCAGAGCCCCAAGCCAAAAGAGAACAAGAGCATGCCTCCCGTTCCACAGGAGGTTTGGGAAGATGTCATGCCCACGGACGGCTCAGATCCAGCCGACCTGATGCACCTGCCCTTCATTCAGGAGGAGATGCAAGATCTACGACAGAGCAACCAGCATCTGCCCAATCGAATGGGACAAGTCGAGATGATGATGCACGAGATGCTGGAGCACATGAAGAAGATGCAGGTGAAATCCGAGAACTGAGAGTTCTGAGTGCAACTGAGGCTGATCTGATCCGGCATGGTATGTTTGCAGAAGAGGTGCATTTGAACATGACCCTGGACACAGACTTTGACTTCACACATGATGTTTCCAACAACAGTTATCACCGACGAATCCAACGTATGGTAAAACAATTTCAATCTGAACTTGACCAAGTGATTCAACAAAATCAGAAGAACAAGTTTCGACTTCCTCAACTTGATTTGTTTGAAGTCATGTGTTCCAGTGACAGTGAACTCACAAAGCAAATGTCGTCCATTGGTGGTCGCTCCAAAAGATTCGGATTGGCAGAAGGTGACCTCCAAACAGCTGCAGGACGCCGAAGAATGTTTCAAGTGTTGACCACCCAGAATCCCAAGAATCTGTGGTACAGCCCTGAATGTGGACCCTGGGTGCGTGGACACGGTTCTGTGTGGAAACCGCCTATAGGTCTTATGTGGCGGAATGAATCACTCCATGGGTTGCATGACATTCTTCAGAAACGTCTTGCAAGCCTCTGGCAGATCAGCTTAGCCATTGTTCTGTATCGATTTCAGGTGCAGAGATCACTGCATTTTCACTTAGAACAGCCGGATGGTTCCAAGATGTTGCAGCTCCAACCACTAAGTGAAATTGGTGAACACACAAGGCTTTGCCGCTTTGACCTCTGCCGCATGGGCAACTTGACCGATCCAGAATCAGCCATGCCCATCCGAAAGCGTTTGAACGTAGCAACAACGTCAGATCCGTTGGCCCGAGCCATCCATGGAAAGCTGTACAATCCCGATCACGAACACCGACAAATGGCAGGAAGCCTGCAATTTGTCGATGTTCGTGAGGGAAAGCGTATGCCATTGTCCACTTTTACTGAGAAGTACCCAGCCAAATTTGCTCGACAGGTAGTCAAGATCTTGCTTTATGAAGTTCCAAAGGAAAAGCCTGTGTTTGCAATGGATGACCCACCTTCTCAGGAAAATAACAATGAACACCCAACCAAGAAGAGACGCCTCATGTCAAAATTGAGTCCACAAGCCATTGCACAGCGATTTGCTGACGCCAGCTGGCAGACAGTGATGAGACGTGCCAATGTAATGGCCCCACGTGTTGGACCACTGGTAATTGACACTGGAGAAATCATTCATGAGATTTCCATGTTATGTCCTGAACATGAGATTAAACATGTGGTCCTTTGTCGTGGCACAGACCGGTATCCTGGCCCTACCAGAAATGTTCCACCAGGTAGTGCTCCTCTAAGAAAACGCATTTGCATCCGTCGCAAGCATGAAGATGTGGTTGTTGATGATGAATGGGAGCCCTGGGAGAAACTGACATTTAAAGGCTTGCGTCGAAAGGGGACGCCAGCCAGAGTCAGTCTGACCATATTTGCCAAAGCCAAGACAGTTGTAGGTCAAGAGATACCTGTTTCCGAACATGTTCCAGTGCAGTCTCAATCTTCTGCCGACGTCCGTGCTGTTCGCTCTGCTGAGTTCGAAGGATCAGAACCAGAACCAAAGCGACCGCGCACTCATGAGCCAATGGATGTGGCCCAAAGAGTTTCCGAACCAGAAAAGACCGAATCAATAGATCGTCATGTCATTGACCTAGCCTCTCAGAAACATGGACCACGTTTCATGATGTTGAAGCCAGAAACTCAGGCATGGCTTCTCAAAGTTCACCGAAACCTGGGCCATCCGGGAGCTATGAAATTGACAGAGTTCTGTCGACAACTGGGATGCCCCAGTGAAATTCTCCAAGCCATCGGAGACCTGAAATGTTCAACATGTGCTGAGAATCAAGATCCCAAGATAGCTCGTCCAAGTTCCATACATGACCATGGGGATTTTGGAGATGTTGTTGCAATTGATGGTATCACATGGACTAATAAGATGGGGCAACAGTATAACATCTATCACATGTTGGATCAAAGTACCTTGTATCACACTGCCGTGGTTACTCGTGCACATGATGCTGAACAGGCCATACATGCGCTTCACCAGGGGTGGATTCAATGGGCCGGACCTCCAGGTCTACTATGCATGGATGCAGGGACAGAACTGAACTCCAATGACTTCATGACATTTTTGCAACGGTACTCAATCAAACATCGAACCATTGCCACAGAAGCACACTGGCAAAATTCCAGGATTGAGAGACATGGAGCTGTACTGCAAAGCATTTTGAACAAAATGGACACCGAAGAACCACTTGATTCCTTTGAAAAAGTAAGCCAAGCAACCGCTTTGGCCACTGCAACCAAAAATCAATGGAGCCGTCACAGGGGTTATCCACCAGAAGTCCTTGTGTTTGGAAAGTCAAGTAGGGTAGCCGGTTCAGTAGTTTCAGATATGCAGTTGCCTTCCCACAGTTTAGCCATTGATGGTCGTCCTGAAGGTCTCCGATTTAGAGAGGAACTGGCCCTGCGAGAACGCGCGCGTCGCGCCTTCACTGCCACTGACAATTGTCAGGTCCTAAGAAGAGCCCTGGTCCAAAGGAGTAGACCCAATCGGGGCAAGTATGTCCAGGGAGATCATGTCATGATGTGGCGAAAACGTGGTGAAGCTGATGGCTCTTGGATAGGTCCCCTTCGAGTTGTGTTGCAAGAAAGTTCACATGTTGTGTGGATCACCATGGGCAGCAAGCTGTATCGCGTAGCTCCGGAACACCTCCGACCGCTGTCAGCAGTTGAGGAGTGGCAACACCGATCCACAATCAATGAAAATCAATCAGGTGATTCTCCACGTTCCACGTCACCAAATCAAAGCATTATCCCACCACATGGCGGAGTACAATATCACAATTTAATTCCCACTGAAGCACCAAGTTCAACTAACACTGCCAATAATCAAGATGTGAATCAGATTCCAATAATCCCCAATGAAGATAACCCTAACGTTTCAGTAATCCCAATAAGTGACAGTAACTCTGAACAACCTGATGGTGAACCAGTTCCCAACAACCAGGATCCCTCCGAAAATGTTGAACAGCCACCCAATCCAGTGGAAGTGCCAATTCCAGATACGGATGATGAACTCTTTGTGGAAGCCGATCATGTTTTCCAAGTTGATAATGATCAATGCTGGAAATTAGAGATTCCCATTTGTGCTCAAGACATCACCCGCTGGCGTGAGGAAACAAAACCACAGGAAATGGCTTTCCTTGTTTCAGCAGCAAAACGACAGCGCAGTGAGGTGAAATTGTCAGATCTCACAGCTGAAGATCGCGAGCGTTTCCGGCAGGCCAAGATGAAAGAAGTGGAAAGCTGGATCAGTACCGAGACTATCACAAAAATCATGCGTAATCAGATCCCAAAAGCCAACATTCTCCGAAGCCGATGGATTTTAACTTGGAAAGAAGTTGATCCCACAGCTGATCAACCCCAACAATCCCAGAAAATGAAACCGAAGGCTAGACTAGTTGTGCTTGGTTTTGAAGATCCTGAAGTATCAGAAATTCCCCGTGATAGTCCGACAATGAATAAACTGACCCGGATGCTTCTCCTTCAGTACTGTGCCAGCCGAAAATGGGATATCCAAAGCTTCGATGTACAGACTGCATTTTTACGAGGCAGCGAGCAGAGCAATCGCGTTTTAGGCATGGAACCACCAGAAGAGATGCGACAGAAACTCAAGCTCCGTCAAGATGAAGTGGTGCAACTTCTCAAAGGTGCCTATGGGCGTGTTGACGCACCATATCTCTGGTTTGTTGAACTGAAGAAGACCCTAGAGGAGCTGGGATTCCAAGCATCACCGTTTGATCCGTGCCTGTTCCATCTGAGTGACCCCAAAACCCAGGAGACACAAGGTCTGATTGGTGTTCATGTTGATGATGGGTTGTGTTGTGGGAATGAAACTTTTCAGAACAAGCTCAAACAACTGGAAGCCAAGTTTCCTTTTGGATCCCGTAAGATGCACAAATTTGTGTTCACTGGTTTACATGTCACGCAAGAAGCTGATTACACTATCACAGTGAACCAGTCACAGTATGTTCGGGATATTCATGCAATTTCCATCTCTCATGATCGAAGGTGTCAACCAGACAGTGTCGTCACAGAAGAGGAACGACAAGCGTTGCGAGCTCTGATAGGGAGCCTACAGTATGCAGCTGTAAACACGAGACCTGACATATGCAGCCGACTGGGTTGGCTTCAAAGCCAAATCAACAAAGCAAAAGTGTCCACATTGGTTGAAGCAAATCGAACCCTCCATGAAGCAAAACAACATTCCAATGTGGCCCTGCGAATACAATCCATACCAGTTCCTGATTTGCGGTTTGTTGCTTTTTCCGATGCCTCCTTTGCGTCAGAGAAATGCCCTGACTCACATCAGGGAATGATGATCATGTCTGCTCACAAGTGCATTGGTGAAAATAGACGCAGTCCAATCAATCCAATGGTATGGCATTCTAAGAAAATCCAGAAGGTAGCAGTCAGCACGTTGTCTGCCGAAGCAATGGCTCTGGCAGGAGCAGTGGATATGCTTTCTTGGGTGCGCCTTTTCTGGGCATGGATATGTGATCATCGCTGTGATTGGAGACAAGCTGATAGCACTCTCCTCCGACTTCCACCAGCATTTTCAGCGTTGACACCAGAACTGCCTGAGAAACAGCCGATGCCTGAAGTTGCCAAAAGAATCCTCAATGATATTCCGGAGGAACGTTCTGATTTCATTACCACTGATTGTAAATCACTCTTTGACTTAATCAACCGTAATGCTCCCCCAACTTGCACTGAATTTCGTACTCAACTTCAAGCCAAGCTGATTCGAGAACATATCCAAAATGGCATTCAGATCCGATGGGTTCCATCAGCCGCTCAAGTAGCTGATGCGTTGACAAAAGTCATGGACAATACCGTGCTTAGGACATGCTTACAGCAAGGTCACTACAGTTTGCATGACGAGCATGAGGTACTCAAGGCTAGATCAGATGCAAGAACCAGAATCAAATGGCTTCAAGCTCTCAATCCCGAAAGTTCAGAGCATCGGTAGTTTGTGGAAAAGCCAAGTCGTCCATGCGCTATCCGATTGAAGTTCTGAAAACCCAATTAGATCTTTCGATGATGCAAGCATGGTCTCTGCCTCACAGGAGACAACTACCAGTGATGAGGTTGACATTGTCTTCAATGCGTAATCAACTGGGTATTTTTCCAACATCATGTCCGTGATTGTCTTCACCATCCTGATCACCGAAGTCGTATCTGGAAAGTGCACATGATGAACAAAATTTTGATAGTACGAATGTGAAAGCCAGGCCAGTTCACATGTGCTTGAGGTCATTCCCTCATGGAACCAGGGGGTTCTTCCAGAAACCAGTTGTTGCCGCAGCCTCTGGGCTGGAGGGAGGGATTAGCTTGAGCAATAGCGCTATCAGTGACGCTTAGCGGATACAGCTGTGGCCAGCTGTGGGTGCGTTGGACTGATTGCAGGTCGTGGCTTCGCATTGGGCAAAACAGGAGTTTGCATTGCTGGACAGGGTTCCAACTGGGATCAGTGATTGGAAGTGAACAAGCTACCAGTGTCAATCTGACACTATATATATTATATATATATATCACAGATATATATATATATATATATACATACATATATATATATAGTACACACAGTACATGTAGTGAAGCTGGAGTATAAATGAACAGATCAGCGAAACCCCTCCGACTCAGCCATGGCACCTGAGAGGTCACTCTCATCGATGTCGATGAAGGTATTTCTCACGATGAATCCTCGGAGCTGGATGTCTCCAAATGGCCAAGGGACATGGATCGAAAGGTGGAACAAAAAACTCTGAAATGCCTTGACGATAAGTATGATACAGAATTCTGCCAAACGCAAGCGTCTACCGAAAAATTGAAATGCTGCTGAACTGGACTTTATTGGAGATGTAACGTTCGTGCTTGTGCTTGGAAACACGAGCTCAACCTTTGTGCAAAGCGCGACTTCATTCTGTGGTAGCTACAAAATGGACTGAAGGCAGCACATTACACTCATGTACATCATTATATAAATCATGATAGATCTTTCTATGTCTGGAAGCCACCAGTGAAATCCACAATCCGACTATGACATGCTTTGCCTTAGCTTCGCAATTTTCACTTTGTTAAAACACAGATACAGATGTGTCCCTGGGATTCGCTGTTGCGATTCCCTGGATGTCCTGGGTGTCCCTGCTGGAGGGAGAATCTGGCACAACGTCATCCGGGGATCCCGGAGACTCCGGCGAAGCGTCACTGGCTGGCGATTCAGGAGATCGTGGCGGGATGATCTGGCCGGAGCGCAGTGCAAAAGCTGGGGGCCGAGATTTTTTTTAAAAAAAATGGGACTCAAAAAATCAAGAAAATCGACTCAAATCGACTCAATAGACTTTGACCTGTCAAGATTTGGGGCACTGGTCCAACTCATAAAGATTCTCCAGCCGTCATGGAAAAAACTCACACTGCCCTGACCTGGCCAACGGGCGCACGAGGAGGTACTGCCACTGGGGCTGGCCTCTTTACCTTGGAAACTGTGCCATCGGCGCAAGAGGAGAAACATGGAGAAAGTATGAGTTACTGGGAGAATCACAGCAAACAAAACACTTGCAAACTTCGCAGATAATGAATGGTTCCACCATGAGACTAAATCCAAACTCGCAAAAGACTAACATCCTGTTACTTTTTGGGACAAATTCAGATGCTCCACCCTTGGGGTGTTCAAGTGTTTTTTTCCGCAACCGCCATGCCAAAAGAGTGGTACGTTGAACCTTGTCCTAATCTGTTGGTGCTTTTTTGGGGCTCCAGACTTTCAAGCGTCCTCCAGCACCAGCAGGGCTGGTCCCCCCCGTGGGGCTATTAGCTCCAGTTGACTCCATAGCGGGCTCCGCTCAGGGCCCAAGGCTACGATGGCTTCAGAAGCTCGGGGTCTCAAAAATATGGGGAAACTATATAAAATGATGAGAATTAATGATCATCATTGACAAACCGTGGAATTTCTGCGGGGCCCTATTTTCAAAGAAATCCTTATTTCGATGGAACCCACATTGAAACCCACATCATCACATGCAATAAGCTCTATACTCTATGTATATAAAGAAAAGGTGCCAAGTTCACAACCCAAAACGTCTTGACGTTTCGAGAATCGACCCTTTTTTTGCACCGTTCAGGCCGGCTTGTAGAGCTTGCTATCTACTTTGTTGCTGCTGTTCAACTCCGTGAAACCATGAGAACGCCACGGTGGGTGTCTACCTCAGCCACTTGGGATTGAAAGATTGAAAGATTACCACCCCTGGGACCTTCTGGAACAGGACCATACCTCGTTTCATCTGGTGAGGTTGTGAGTTTTGCTGCAAGCGGCAGATAGAAGAAGCACTTGCAGCTGCTGGCCAGTCCTTCAATCCCATCCCCAAACATCTTCGGACTGCGGATGTGATGTCAGACCAGTTCTGACCACCTAAAAAGCAGGAATTAATTTAGCAAAAATTGGAACATCTGCAACCACCCAGCCCTGCCATCCAATTCCCATTGAACTTTCGTCCTCAAGTCTTCAGTTGGACCTACAAGCAAGCCTTGTGAGGGCCTCAGCGTTCAGACTGGGGCCTGTTGCCCCATGTTCCATGAAATTTTGACATCAACCGTGTAATCTGCTTGAAATGGATTGAAATAGGGATTTGCTATGTGAAAACTCAACTCTTGTCATATCAGAGTTTCGTGAGTTCTATGATGTTTTATGATGTTTTATGATGGTTTATGATGTTTTATGATGTTTTATGATGTTTTATGATGTTTTATGATGTTTTATGATGTTTTATGATGTTTTATGGTGTTTTATGATGTTTCATGTGATTATCACACTATTCCCCCCAATCCAGGCATGAGAAAATCTCTGCTGTGTCTCCCATCTCTTTGCCATCGGGATGAGCCACATTGAGCAACAGCCCGAAGGGTGTTTCAGCTTGAACCTGGCTCACTGGGAGAGTTTGATAGTTGCTACACCTGGAGGGTTTGACATTTCCAAGCAATTCTAGGAACTCCAACAAGCTGTCGGACCTGTGCCGTCAACGGCTGTTGAGGCGATATCCCCAAGTAGTCTTTCAGGCGTTGCCGCATGGCCTCACAGGATGCGCTGGCACAGCTGAGACAGGCTTTGGTTGTTCAAAGGATGTGTTTTCTTGATGAGACATTATGGAACATGTAGGCTTATCTCTTCATATTCTCTTCGCGGATCTTCAGACCAAAATTTGAGCTCCCAGAATTTCTACATCCAAGAGAAGGTCGCAGATCGTGACAAGCCTCTACACCACAGCCAGTTCCTGCAAAAGCAGCGGCTGCGAGTCTGACTGGGCCGCCCTGACTCGAATTTGCAAATCCTGGGCATTGGGCAGAGGTTCCTGCAAGCTGTGCCAAGGTGCTTCCCATGCCATGTCGTGCTGCTGATCAACAATCTTTCAGAAACACAACAGTTTGCGGTTGTTACAGGTCTTGAAGTGTCTGAGTTCACCAAACTCTTGTAGTTGCTTTGATGGAACATAACTCGCATGCATTCCCCGGGTTCCTCCTCAAACAGAGGAGTCTCTTTGCTCTCCACCTCCTAAAACAGCAACGTGAATGGAAACTGGGAACCGGCGATTCGCTAAGGCGAATGGGCCCAGTAAGCCGATGCCACCGAAAGGACGTTGACGGACGTTGTGGGATGCTTCAAAATGTAAAGAGCCCAATGGCCGAATCCCACATCTTTGCTGAACCACTGGCCAAAACTTGTCCAAGCCTCAGGAGTCTTCATAGACAATGCCAGCAAGTCTGAGAGGCAAGTTTCATTCACAGCAAAGGCTCAAGCGGAACTTCTAACCAAAACCTCGAAAAAACATGGTGCGTATACTCTATATATATATATCTCAATCTATCTATATAGTGTATATATATATAGATATATCTATCTATATCTGTGTGTGTGTGTACATGTATACATAAGTCACAGTTTGTGTGTTCCTGAAAAATCCACCCTCTCCACAGCCCCTTTTCCTACATTTTCGGCCTTCCTCCATGTGGTCCATGACTCCTACTCGCAACAAGTCTCCGGGAGCCTTGCTGGACCACTCCGCCAGTTGCAATACGCAGGGACCACATTAAGGCTCGGGCAAATTTGGAAGAAGGATCCTGCCAGAGATGCAAAAGATACCGAAATGTCGACAATTTTTGAAGAAAATGCTTGGAAGCTCAATGATGATGGCTGTGTATGACCAAATTGCACTGCGAAGCAGGATCAGCACTCAAGAAACATTGACAGTTGTGCGCACACACAGACACATGTTTGGCTGCACATGCCACATGCTGTAGAATTGGCGACATTCCTATAGGGTGTCGCAAGGAACTGTGATGAAATCCTAACAGGCACATTCTTTTTCGCTCGGAAGAGTTAGAAATGTATGGGGAAGTCAGCGCTCAGTGTCGCATCTGTTTTTTTGTTTTACTATTATATTAAGATGCATATCAAATAGTATACAATATGTCTAGTTTGTATGTATCAAAAAAAACATATACATATACATATACATATACAAATACAAATACATATACATATGCATATACATATACCTATACATATACATATACATATACCCATACACATACACATATACATATACATTTACATATACATATTGCCCACATATCTGTATATGTCAATATACATGAATATATATATATATCATTATATCATAACGTCATATGTCTGATGCAGTGAAACCAATCCCTACCATGCTATCAATGCTATCCCTCGCCTCAACATACTCGTCCAGCTCAGTGACGTACAGCAGACCACGGCCAACTGGTGTCCGCAAGGTTAGACCGTAGCTATGTACCTCAGCGGAAGGCCATTGAAGCTGAGCCGATTGGAAAAACCTCATGTGTGAATTGTGTGATTCCTATTTTGATTTCTCATGGGAACAACAATTCCTCAACTCACCAAACAAAAGTGAGCTTCGCATGCGGACGCTTGCTCTGCATCAAATGATTGAAGTCGCTGCCATACGCCGAGCGTTTGCTTCTTTGGCAACAAGGGCACCAGCTGCACGTGAAATCAACAAAGGTGTCAAAGAAATTCAATCCTTTGTTCAATCTGCTGATGCCCCCCACATACTGATGCTCGAGTTCAACAGCAATATTGCTGAATTGTGTGCACGAGTGCCTGCGCAAATTGATTAAACAACTACGATTGTGAGAAAGGCCATGAGTGAAGAAAGTGAAGAAGTGCTGTACCTCAACCCTACCCATCTTCAAGCCAACTGATCTTCAAGATTCTGCAAGTTTCGCAGCAAGCGTCTCCCAATCTTGTCTTGGGCTGGAGCTGCCTTTGAGAGTCTCGGAACACTTGGAACCTCTGGCAATCGTTCTCGCCGCCACTGGCAGTACTGCTCTAGTTCCTTATTGTACTGATGAAGTACATTCACTTCATTTTCAATGAAGCCTTTGAGTTTCCTCTCATATGCATCACGCTCACAAAGGTGCTGGTACAGCTTGGATATTTTGTAGTCGTATTTCTGCTTCAAGCTTTTTAGAGGTTCATTCTCCTCATTTGCTGAGCCACGCTCAGCTTGAACTTGGGCCAAGCATTTTGCATGCGCCTGCGCCTGCGCAATGATGTCCGAGAGCTGGTTGAGATCACCCTTTGACTCTCGATTCTCTCGATCCAGCAGGTCTTGAAGCTCTTTGCATCTCTCCTTTTCAGCCTTCAAAGCCGCACGACTTGCTTCCACCTCTTCATTTGCAGCTTCCAAACGCCAGGTGAGCTCTGCTGCCCGCTTTTGAGATTCCTTCTCACTGGCCTGGAGTCGAACATTGCGGTCCTCCTGTTGCTTGACACCCTCCAAGCCCTCAACAGCCCTAGCATATTCCACCCTTTGTCTGGCCAGCTCTTGATTCCTCTCAAACAACTGGCGCCGTTGGTCTTCCAGCTGCTGTTCTAACGTGGCCTTCGTGCTCTGCTGAGTCCGCTGCTGCCTCTGGAGTTCTTCCAAGTCTTGTGACTTTGTCAGAGCCTCGTCCTTTTGGCGGGTCCCTGTGAATCCCTGGGTCCGAAAATATCCCCGTAAAAAATGTGGGGAACATCATCCGTTTTTTAAATTGTATGGCTTAAATGGCTTAAATATGGCTGAAAAAAAACCATAGGTTCTTGGTATTTCTTCTCATTTCAGGGGTCTAGGGACCTAGGTCACCTCCCTATTGTGTTGCTTGAATCCTCATTTCTATGGGAACATCATGCACAAATCCCCACATATCATATATTCTATATAACATGATATAACATGATATAAAAATTGGTAAATATAACATGATATAATAGCATGTAAATGTATACTGTTTCAGAAACTGTTTCGAAACATGATGTGCTCATCATGTCCTTTAAAGAACGAGATCAATCCTCCGTTCCCATCCCTTCTTATCCCGGTCCTTCAGATCCTCGGCCTTTCTCTGCGACTTCTTCAGCTCCATCTCCAGGCGCTGGCACCGCTCCAGGGAGCTCCGCTGCTCCTCCGTCAGATCCCGCAGCTGGCGCTGGAACTGCTCCGCCTCCTGCAGTCATCAATGAGATAGTTGGATAAATAGAAAGATAGATGGATGGATAGACAAATAGACAGATAGACAGATAGACAGATAGACAGATAGACAGATAGACAGATGGACAGATAGACAGATGGACAGATAGACCGACGGACGGACGGACGGATGGATGGATAGATAGATAAATAAATGATTAAAGGTGACTTTGAGAAAAATACTTGAAATCCTACAAACTGCTTTGTGGTTGAGCCGCTCATTTAAGGCCAAGGTCCAGAATGGGGATCTTGATCCCAGTTTCAGGGACTGAAAATATAGCATCTGAAGGTGACGCTTGAGATTCATCAAGTAGGTTCAAAGAAAAACTTAAGAACACATTGAGTTTGTCTGAAAATTGGATATCCCAAAACCACGCAGTTTATTGAACATCATGTTCCCACTAAAATGGCTCCAAAAGGGGATATACCGTGGGCCTATTCCACTAGAATGTCTATAAAGTAGGGTAATTATACGGTATACCCTATTTTTAAGTCAAACGAATGTTTAGATCAACCGCTCCTGCTGACATTGGTCCAACTCCTTTTGGATCTCATCCCGCTCTTGGAATGCTCGCTGCAACTCCGTCTCACCCTCTCTCCATGCAGCTTGCAAACGTTCCTGGCGCATTGCAAGCTCCTGCAACTCAAATTGGTTGGATTCCACAATGGCTTGTTTGTCCTGCTGCAAATCCTCCAAGTCTTGTTGCAGAGTTTCACATCGATGCTCAAGTTCGGCACACTGCCGTGTCATCCTTTCCAACTCCACAGTCTTCGCTTCCGACTCTTGTCTCTCCTGGCGCAAAGCCTCTGAATCTGAACTGGCTCTTGCTTCTACTTCTCGCAGCTGCCTCTCTGTTCTTGAGGCCTCTTGCTGCAAGTTTTGAGCTTTTGCCTCGGTGCGCTTCAAGGAGTTCTCCAAGTCTGTGATGCGAAGATTTTGGGAAAACTGTTCCTGAGCTTTCTGAATTGACTCTGCTTTCAGAGTTTGAAGCTGTGAACTTGTGGTCCCATTCATCTCCTTTTGTGCCTTCAGAAGCTGCTCAAGTTCCAAGACCTTCTGTTCCAATCTCCTGCACTTGGTCTCAGCTTCCCTGGTCCTTTGCTGTTCCTCTGTGAGGCTCATTTTGGTAGTTGTGAGTTCATTGTCAGACTCCTCCAGCTGCTCCTGTAGTCTCTGTCGTTTCTCTCGCTCTTCCTCCACGTCGCCATGGAGTCGCTCAATGGTATCGCGACATCGCAACAGCACGGCATCGCTGTTGGTCTGTGCCGGCGAGTAGTCCTGCGAATCCTCCTCGGGTCGTTCGGGTCGTGCCGAGATACGTCGAGGCGATGTGCCACGATCAAAGTCTACCCGTCGCTGGATTGAGGACATGGGCAGGATGGCTGTTGGTGAAATGTTTATCTGCTCAAAGATGCATTAAGGATGCTTGATCAACTTTTCCACAGTGTTTTGAGTGTTTGCGCAAAGTCACATTACAAACCATTCTTGGCTTTTGCATGACATGCCACTCTTTTGGATGTGAAGCATCAAATTATGGTTCTTGTGCCAACAACATGCATAGACAATGGCATGGGGCAATGTAGCATTTGCTCATGCATCCAAAGACAACAAGTGCGTTCTTCTTCTTCTTCTTCTCCTTCTCCTTCTCCTTCTCCTTCTCCTTCTCCTCCTCCTCCTCCTCCTCCTTCTTCTTCTTCTTCTTCTAGCTTGTGTTCTCCTTTCTTCTTCTTCTCCTTATCATCATTATCATTATTGTTATTGATCTTCCCTCTGTGCCATATGCCAAGGAACTCTGTTCAAACACTAAGGCGCATTACATTTCATCTTGCTACACAAGAGAAATGCTGGGCTTTGTTTTGCCAATCTGGGTGTGCTGACATCCTCCACTCTGCCTTGCAGCCACATGCCCAGCTTCGCGGCGGAATCCGCATCTGCAAAGGCTGAGTCTGGTCTCAACTGCATTAGTCTATCCACTTCTGCTTGCACATTGGCATATCTCAGGGTGAACCCTCTCAGGTGTGCCTGCGGTTGCTTGCCTCGCCGACAGAAACAACCTACAGCGGGCAACAAGGACTGTGGTTCTTTCAATTATAGCCATGCCACACTCTGAGCTTTCAGCCGGTTGTGTTGCTGATCCACAGATACAACTCGCACCTCAAAGTGCCATGGTTGCGGTTCAACATTCAGGTGAAGCCTTGGGCTTCCAGGGCCACCTGAACTTCAGCACCAGGACCAAGGTCTGTTTCCAACATCTCCTCTGAGAACTCAGAGAGATGCACCTGTCCAAGTCCATCACCATCATCACCGTTTTCGGCTGCGGCTGCTTCACTGAGCAACCAACCAGGCCCCAGCAACTTTCGCCTCCACGGCGAACATGTTGCAGGGAAAAAATGAACAAACTATGCACCTCATACCTACAGACCTACAGGAGAACTTCTTTCAACAGATCAATTTGAATGCCTCCAGTCGGTGGCTCCACTGTCACATATATACCTGCAGATCACGTGAAGTCGAAACACAAAGGCTGAGTCATGCGCCAAAAATTCTCTGTGACGTGGCTGATATCATGTGACACGGATGGACTGCAGTTCATGGCTCCATTTTGGTGGTCGGGCAGGGCTCACCATAGGATGCAGCTTGTAGAACCTGCCCATCCAGCCACTCCGAAGATGACCTTGGCGATCGGAGTCCCCAGGTTTCTTCCCATCAAAATCGCTGGTATCAATTTTTTTTTGGCAACCCCAAAGAAGATCGAAAAAGTAAAACCAGTAAAACCCAACAAAAATAGTGGTAAAAGACGTTTCAAAATCTTTTTGGAGGATACATGGGGAAACTATACATGGCAGTTCTGGGTATCCACAGGGAAAATCAAATTCTGACCCATGGCCACACGGCTGCCCCGACCCTGAACCCCTCTGCAAAATCTGGGGCTCCCCTGCAGGGAAGCAAAGGGCAAGAGATTCTGCCCCCGCTTCAACGGAACCTCCTTGCAGCTTAGCTTTTGGGGGAACTTGAACGAATGAACCCCGTGGAGTCCATTCCTGGTGGCCACACACAGCATTTATTGAAATTTGGGGGCATGTACTTCATTCTGAAATGTTCATCTTTTTGATGTTTGCATCATTGCTTGAGCTATAACAAAAGCCCGAGAGAGAGCACTAAATCTTTGTAATATAGGAAAATGATGGAAAATGAGCATTAATTACAGCCCCTGCTCGAAATACTTTTGAAAATCTTTGATCAAAATTCAAGGCCAATGGATTTCCAGTCCTCCGTGTTGGATGTGGTGCCGAACTGCCAGGACTGTAGCTGGGCCTGCATCTTCCAGGTTGAAACAGAGGAACATGGCTTAGTGTGGACCACAACATTTTCCCACCTCCAGATCAGCCTTGATATCCTCCGGTCCACCCTTCATAGAGAGTTGCAACCTCCAAACAGAATAGGCCCGGAAGCGAAGCGCAAAGGAGTGAAAGAGATCGAGGTTGTGACATGCCATTGGACTTTCCCAGCACTCTCACGTGCACCTGAAATCGAGATCGTTGACACAAGCAAAAAGGTTCGAATCGCGAGAGAATACGTACAGTGACAGGTATTATGTAGTGATATTACAATCATTACAGTGTTATCATAATGACGATTATGATTATTACAATGTGGGGCCCCCTAGTTATATGTTGGTTTATAACCCCATCTAAATCCGCCCGCACCGAAGGTGCTGGGGCGTGATCTTCCGGATGGCACTCGTAAAAGGTTACAGGTTTACCTGGGGGGGGGCATTTTTCGGCCAAAACCTCCTGTTTTTGACGCTCGCCTTCAAAAAACACTGTAAAAAACAGTACGGAAGACACCTGTTCGTGAACGCGCCCGTCCAAAATCGGCAAGCGAAAAGTGAAAAAAACCCGTGTTTTTCAACTTTTTGACCTCAATTTTTTGGTTTGCAACATCTTTTTTTGCGGTTCCGCAGGTGGCCGGGCCCGGAGGCGGATTTTTGAGTTTTTGGACCCGTTTTCGGACTGATTTTCGTCGTTTTGTGATAGCAGAAACACTGGTTTTTACAGTGTTTTTCTGTTTTCTGCATGCTTGACGGCTAGCTTCAAAACTTCCAAAAACCTCGTAAATTACGCTGTTTTATGTTACGGTGTGAATGAAAACATCGTAAATACCAGTGTTTTTTGACGTTGGTTAAAAAAACACTGTAAATTACAGTGTTTTTGGCCACCTGACCCTCAAAAACCATGGTATTTGCAGTGGTTTCTGCTTCTCACCGCGCAAAAACACTGTAAATAACAGCAATTTCGCCGTTTTTTCATGTTTTTCGTTATTTTTTGAACTGCGTTGGTCCGCTATACATGGCTATCAAATTCTTCGCGTTTTTTTTCCGACAATCAGTACTTTCGGATGTTTTTGGTCTCAATGGCCGACATCATTGGCAGTTACGAGCGGCTGCCCAACGATGCGGTGCGGGCGGTTGCCGTCGCGAAGCGACGTGAATATACTTATAAGTACCATAAACCCTATTTATTGTAGTTGTAAACCAACTTAGCTATCTTGGGGGCCCCACATTGTAGTATTATATTATATATGTCTAGGATTATTACTATTACTATGACTATTATTATATACTATTATTATTATTACTATTATATACTATTATTATTATTATTAGTAGTAGTAGTAGGTAGTAGTAGGTAGTAGTAGGTAGTAGTAGGTAGTAGTAGGTAGTAGTAGGTAGTAGTAGGTAGTAGTAGGTAGTAGTAGGTAGTAGTAGGTAGTAGTAGGTAGTAGTAGGTAGTAGTAGGTAGTAGTAGGTAGTAGTAGGTAGTAGTAGGTAGTAGTAGGTAGTAGTAGGTAGTAGTAGGTAGTAGTAGGTAGTAGTAGGTAGTAGTAGGTAGTAGTAGGTAGTAGTAGGTAGTAGTAGTAGTAGTAGCAGTAGTAGCAGTAGTAGTAGTAGTACTATTATTATTATTATTCTTGTTATTATTACTAGTGTTACATAAATGAGCGATTGTGAAAACCCTAGGTTCACGGAAAGGACATCCACAAATTTGGGAAGGTCCCATCGCTTACCACACGTTTGTACAATAATGATATATGGTAAACTTGGGGGGTATCGCTTGCATGAAACTGCTGCATTTATATATATATTATATATATATTATATATATATTATATATATATATGTGATGAACTATGAATCAATCACATGTGATATTTGGGTATCGCTAATGTGGATATTAGAGAAATATGATGACAAATACCTTGAAAAGGGGTATCGCTAATTTGGGAAGGTCCCATCGCTTACCTCGTGTTTTTAACAATTTCCATCAATTTCCATAAACCAATGTCCGTCGAATACATATTTAGTATTGCCGGGGTTTTTACGGTTGCTCAAATATAATTCCTAGTTTTGTTACTATTATAGTACCGGAGCTAACCAGTCTAACCCTAAGCTGCAAGGAGTGCAAATTCTGAAAGATGTTCATCTCTCTGGTTGAAACCTGATCGCCAGCTTTGAAGAACGACTTCAAGTTTCGTCTTGGCAAGTCGATCCTTAGGCAGACCACTGTTGCCGTGTGTTCCAGGAGGGTCCCTTTGGGTCATGTTTGATTTTTTGTCACCTCTCTTGTAAGATAACGGCCGATCTGCAGGGACAAATCCTGAGGATTTAGGGAATGATGGACGTGCAACGTCCACAAACCTTGGTGGTTCACGTGAGCACTGCATGAGAACCGATGCAAATTCCACTCTGCCGAAGAAAATGCGGCAAAAGCGCTGGGTGTCTAGCACTCCTTCATGCTCATTTTCCGAAAAGCCTTCGATTCATACACTCCAAATTGATTTTGAAACTGCTCGCCATACATTGAGAGCTTTCTTTCACATTGCTTTGATCAGAGGGTGCGAGATATCTGAGTCCCGCAAGCTACAGTACCTTCTGGGGTGCATCCGCATCTGTTGCATTCCCAATTCTGCACTATCCCTTTCGCCTGCAACAGTGGCCTCTAGCCACTCACAGGCGTAAATGTCAGTGGGTTGCACCTACAAGAAGAGAAGAATGGAGACCAATGATATATCGTCACAGGAAGTGGAGTGAGTCTCACAGAGTTTTTCCGAATCAGTGTCTCGTATGATGGCCCTGCCTCTTGGCTGTTGGAAGACGACGAAGTGCTCCGTGATTGAGGCCGCAAGGACAACCCCAAGTGGCCCCTGCGAGATGAATAGAATGACCACCATGGATGATCCCGGATGCAAACCTAACATGGCACGCCTTTCTTTTTCAACGTACACGACATCAACCTGGAAACCAACAACACTCTCTGCCGCAAAATACAGGCCACACAGGCAATGACTATCACACATCTGAACTTGTGGTCCGCTGAGTGCTCCGGCCATCATTTCTTGACCAACCTCAAAAGAGTCGAGATCCTCAGCAAAGCATTACAAAAGCGACGTGATTGTCGTTCGAGTGCAGGTTGACTCTCAAAGGTTTCTAGCATGTGCGTCTGAACAAAGATGAAAGAAAATACCAAGGACCAAAACTAAAACCCTGCCTGGTCCATTTCAGACAAATGGATCAAGCCAGTCGCCTCCTGCATTCAGTTTGCAACTACTTAGATGCTGCTGTCCACTTGATAAATAGACACCACCTCGCATCTTCCCAAGAGATATCTCGATATATCTCGATCTCTTCATTTCGCTGTGCCTCTCCCCCAGGTCCATTGACGTCTACCCAAAGGCCGTAGGAAGCCTGTCACAGCGTATCTGCATGTATCTGCCAACATATCATGGTCACCAGCTACAGGTCTCCCACCTTGCTGTTCACCGTTGCTGGCAGCTGTTGAAGATTCTCAAATCCCCGCAAGTCCTCGCGATTTCAAACACAAATTTCTGCCAAATTTCTGCACCTGGCGGTGGCACTTTTTGGTTTCCTGAACGCGTTGTGCGAAAGCTTGCACCTCAGGGCAGAACAATTCCACATGTTTACCTGAAAATAGGGTTCCTCCAATCCCCTGGTTCATCACAATTGTCTGATTATCCCTACATGTTTTGGGGTGTACCAAAATCGCAGAAAACGAGCACTGGGATTCCCCAACTTTGGGACGAGTCCGACTTTCCAGCGGCCTCGGCATCTGTCCCTTGAAGCACGTTCCATGCTGGGATGCTTCTGCGGCTCTGACCTCAAATCAGCTTGGCCTCCGACTCAGGTCAGAGTTGGAATGCCATCTTCCACTGTTCCACTGTTATTGAGTTAAAGCATGCAAGCGAATCTACAACGGACCTCTGGAAAGAATCTTGACATGTCTTCACAATATTCTTCCAATCAGCAGTGCAGGCCATGCATGCCTTGCCACACTTCTGCTGGTGCAAAGGTGGACGTCATCAGGCCCACCTGCAAGAAACTTGCACTGAACATCACCGGGCACAGGTCGAAATTGCCCACAGGATTTCAATGTTTGGTGAGGCCGAAGACCTTCCGTTCCTTGAGGACCTGAATTATCCTCAATTCTGACCCGTAGCCAAATGAGCTGTGCCGTGCTGCAGTTTGCGCCTGTCGACTTTGCAAGCTCATCAAGCCTAAAAAGCCCAGGCGTCTCAACTTCCCAACCTGGCTTAGTTGCCATGGTAGTTGATTCAAGACTAGCACATCCAATCACCATGTATCACCATGTATCACCGTCACCCTAACCAAGGTGCCAGGTGGCGCCTTTATCTTGGAGCCATGGCAGCACATGACTGACTGCATCCCAAGGTTGTTTCCGGAGCAGCGTTCGCATCGTTGATTTACAAAAGTCTTAGTCTTAGATGGCTTCTATTCCTATAAAAATTCAATGCCTTCTTCCTCAACATAATTTTGAACTTCACCACTCTTGTTCTTGCTCCTTCATTATCAGTATGTATAATTGTCAGTGTCTTTCCCATGTTTTCCATAGTACTCTTTAAAGAAGTACTATATATGGCCGTTGCAAGATTATGCCACAAGTGAAGGTGGGTGAGAAACGAACTGTCCCAGAGGCTATGGCTCACCCTTGGATGTGTCAAACAAACATAAGCAACGATTTGACGTATGTCTTGCGCTGTCAAATGCTGTCAACCAAAACCAACATGCCAAGCGCAAAGAGGGTGTCTGGTCGAATCGTTTCAGGGGAAAAACACACACAAAGAATGCAAACTCTGCGCTTCGTTCATGAATTCCAACTTGAACACGTCGACCTCTAGAGTTTGAAGCGTGACATGCACACGGGTTTTCTTCGCGCGCAACTGGTGCACATCGGGCCACCCCAGTCAATCCTGTACAGCAGATTCCATGGGGTGTTCATTTGCATCGCCTCGTCAGGTGCTTTCCAATAGCAAAGTTTCCTGCTGAATCGCCATTACGGGTGCATAGCCATCCAAGAAGATCTTTGCATCCTGGGCATCGCACCTCGGGCTGCAGAAATCTGATCCTATATTTACTGGGCAAGCATATTGGCGTGAGAAATGGTTCAGAATACATCAAAACACACAACACAGTTCCAAGAATGATGACATGAAGAGACCGTAGGACATAGTATTAAAACACATGCGGTAGAACGAGCTTAGTTGACGCCAAGCAACATCTTTGAGATAACCTCCTTCACATGTTCGTCATTGACCCTGAAGGTGAATTTGCTATCGTCCGTGATGAACCTCGGGGAGCAGCGGCAGTTCAAACCCGGGTGTGCGACTGCAGGTGTTGTCAGGCATGCGGCATATCACTCAATAGTTCACCTTCGGTTCATGCCATTTCCCAAGTTCATGTGACAAGAGAACCGAAGGGGGCGTCGCAGTCGCACACGGATCAGGGTTGCCTACAAACCACAACCGTGGATGTTCAACCCAAGATATGTCCTGGTCAAGGCACCTGCCGTAGCCAAGGCAGCTGCATTCCTCAATTTCGCAGAAGCTCCCAACATGGCTTGAGGTTTGCGACGGGAGGAATGGCTTTTGGATCCCAAACTTCAACATTGCGATCAGATTCAACAGGCAAACGGTCCACATGGTTGGATTGAGTGACTTCAAACATCTTCAGACTGTCAATACGAGATACCCAGAAACAAAACCTGAAGACTTGCATCTACTTCAGACTTGCGCGTCGATTCATATGATTCATCAAAAGGAAATCAGTTGAAGGATGTTGAAGGTATCTCCAGACAAGCCACCCTGATCTGGTGCATGAGATACTGCTGCAGCATGTCGATTGACACGGGTCTGGACCCTGACCATGATTCAACATTCAGAAATGCGCGCTGCCAGCCTCAGTCCGAGAAATGTGTTTCGGAGGGTCTGCACTTTGCAAAACATAGAAGGTGCTGCTAGTCAATGAGCCTGGTACATGGAGATTGTTTCTGCAAGAATCTGTCAACTGCAAACAGCTTGCAAGTATTTCTATGTGTCATCATATGCGCTAATGTTTTCCTTTAAGAATTTCCTCGGCTTTGGTATAACTACCACGCTGGTCAAATTCCACTAAAACAAAGCATTCGAGCAACTGTCCCAGTCTTCGGCAGAGCAATAAGGCATGAAACCTGAGTTGTTGTTGCAGGAGCGAAGAAGCGTAGTACTAGGTCAACTTCAAGTACAAAAGAATCTGGAAACCCCAGTTGTAAATCACCCCTATATTTCCCTAAGTGGGTGATATGTAAGAAAAAACATCCCCCAATAGTAGGTTGTTTATTGGGTTTCCACAAAGCTACATTCAATCACCTCAAACTTCGCCTTCTCGTTTGGAAAGTGATGCAACAAAACGGATTCGACTCAACCATCTCAACCATCTCAACCCAGCAGCCAAAGAGAAATTGCCTGAAATACTGACCGATGTCAGACTGGTTCATCCAGCTGAGCTCGGCAGTGCAATGGATTCGTCTGAAGACCTCGCCATGCCGCCATTTTCAAAACCGCCATAGGATGGTAAGTCATGGGGGATCCACAAGTCACCATAAGTTTCAATACTCAAATTGTCCAATTTTGGATGATTTAGAGGTACAAGAAAATTTAGGAAACCTCCATATCCTCCATATGTTGTTACTCTTGGAATTGTGAGTGCACAGATTGAAGCATTTCATGTGTAGATTTCGACAAATGCATCCGCTACAAACATCAACTGTGCAGCAGTCACTCTGTCCTCACTTTCCGCACTGGATTAATATCAATCAAATCGGAACTTCAAAAATTGAGAATCATAATACTACTGCTACTACCTACGTTTCAAGAAACTTTTTGAAAAGACGCTCAGCCAAGAGTCAGCGGGGAGCTTTTTCCGCACACAATCAGCCGCAATTTCTGAAGTGCCAGTCAGGATCACCTCGGCGAAAGGCTCTTCGCTCTGGAACTGGACCTTGCCTTTCCGCCTTTCCCACTTGGTCGCTTAGCCGAGATGCTACCCCTTGGGACATGGCCGTGGACCCCTGAAGCAATTCGCCTCGGTTCAAAACCTGCCCCTTGATCTCAGTCCGAATCACCAGAAGATCTAGAAGGTGATCACTGAATGCTTCAACATCAAAAGCAAGGTGAAAGGTGAAGGCCTGAAGACCCACGTGTCAATTCATAGACTCCACCCTTGATGTTGCCATCTCCACCCATTGCCATGTCACAGAAGCCTCCCGCGGAGACCCCAGGACCTCTGTTGTCGTGTCCAGCTAACCAGCGCTGTAAGGTCTCCTGGAACTCATCCACCTGAATTCCAGGTGCACACACCGGAGGACTTGTGATGAATGACAGAAATGACAAATTCTGAAGTTTGTTTCCTTTTTGAAGATATAGAACAGGTCTTGCCAACAGTTATTTTCACTTTTTGAAGTTCTCAGTGATATCAAGTGATATGCCTCTCACGAGCAGTTGGTTCACTTTTCCCAGGCCTGCACCAAGATTGAGTTGAAGGAGATTGCTGACTGGGAGAAAAGCCTGAAATGTGGGCCACGAGCCATGTCATGCTGACACAGCATCACCAATTCTTTGACAATGGCATTGGCGTCATAAAATTAGATTGCATACCGAAATCGCTTCCCCCATGAGTCCAGTTAAGAATAGATGAAAAATGATAAATGGATTTGAAAAGGTAAACAGCTTTGTTTCACTACAGTGCCATACAAATCCGTGATCCGAGGTGCTGTGCTAAACGATCGTCCGTCAAGCGAGGACTCGACAAACAAAGGCGATATACAGGGACTCCCAGTTGTCCTGTGCCATCTCCATCTGGGGATGGACAGTGAAGCGCAGCTGAACAAAAGATGCAGAAATATTACCCTCTGGTAAACTAACATAACTATGAAAAATCACCATTTTCAATGGGAAAATCCACTATAAATGGTATAAAAATTACCAGAGGGTACATAAATTCAGTATAATACATTCATGGATATTCAAACCCTTTGATGTCAAACCCTTTGATGTCCTGCGATCCAAATGGTGAACTCTGATTTTCCCACACCAGGAGGTCCCGTGATCATGTAGACCTCAGGGCAAATGACTGGTGGCTATATACATGCCCCCACAGTCTGGGAGGTTTAGTGGCAACCTCTTTGCAAACCAAATGTTTGATGTCACACACCTGCAAGGAAGTCAGGTAATTAATTTGTCGTTCCCTTTGCTGACAGGAGACACGGAGTGCACTTTGAGACCACAGCTTGGCATCAGCCAAAATTTTGTGTAGAGCATGTCTTTCAAGGTAAAATCCCTGTCCGGTCGCGCTAGCATTCTTACCTCAGTTGCTCCGTCCAATGTCACACTGCATCACCGTCATTAAAGAACAAGAAATGATCACCGAATCATGCATGCAAACGCTGAGATCAGAAATGGTTTTCCTCAAAGGCTCAAAATCATGCAGCACTAAAAAAGAGCACATTGATGGTAAACAAATCCAGCCAAGCCGTATGCCAAGATTCAGGGCTTGACACGCTCGAACTTCCACTCCTTAGAAATTCATGGCAGATCGGCTACCAAACCTACCAAGGCACAGTGCCTGACAGATCCACATAGGAAGATGTTGGAGGGGCTGCTGGTGCATCCTGCATGGCCAAGATGCTGGAACCCAGTCGCTGCTGCTTTCTTGCAAGGAATACACGTTCACCACATCCTTCCAGGCTGCTCCACGGGACAGACAAAAAGAGGTGAACCCCACAGCTGTGTCAACAAGGGGCCTGGACTGGCTTCATGAAGTGAACATGAGCGTATTCCATCCATCGCACCTCATGTCAATCATGTCAATCATGTCAGGACGAGCACAGAGGCCGGCAACTCATCTGTCTGTGACATGGAGTGAGAAATGAGATCTGCCAAGTGACCAGCATCTCTTTATCCAACAGTGCACGCGCTGGATTCGACCGCACTGAAAGGACCAGCACCTGGTGCGACATAGAGATCTAAGATCTACAGCAGCTCTTTAATACATGATACAATCAACACCCGACCCCGCGGCCCCGAACCTCACGGCGTTCTACTCGGCTATCACGACCGCAAACGATGTCATCACCAGGAATGAATTCCACCTCCATGGCTTTCAGGTTGACAAAAGAACCAGTCGTGCTACTTTGGCCCCACATTCCACCGCATGAGCAAAAAGGACCAACTTTTGGTGTCTATGTGTTCTTTGCAGTGGTTTGATGAACGTTACCATATCAACGAAGCAGTTGAGAGGGAATTCTACGGAGATTCCACAGTCAACTTATCTGCTGCCGAATTTCGAAAGGGGTCCCGCCAGTCAAACTTCCCTTTAACTGCATTATGTGAAGAGTGGTCCCAAAGAATTAGAAGGACCTTTGCATGTCAGTGCATTTCCAGATTTCACACCTAATGTCAATGTTTTCTATCACCTCCCACTGACCGTGGGAATGCAGAAGATCGCAGGACTCAGGTCCCAGGATTTGGACCAATTGGAGGCACTTTGAGACTTTGAGAGGACTCTTCATCCAACACTATGTTGCATGTCGGGTGGATTTCCAACACGGCCTGCAGGTCCATATCCTCCATGTGCACATCTTGAAGTTCCGGATTCGCACCATGCATCACTTTGGGCACCCTGCGAAGACTTGAGCACGATCAAGGACTTTGACTTCAGGAAAGCCTGCAGTTTCTACAGATAGCCTCTGTGCTGTTTCTACAGATACCATGCCTGAGACGGATCCACATGCTACGAGCGCGGGAACTCCAAAAGCGCAGTTTCACTTTGATCTTTCCCGTCAGCTTGTCATGCCTCAGTTCAGGGAGCATCTGCAGGTCACCAAAGCAATCTCCAAAATTTGTGGTGACAATAGGATATCTATAGCTATTCCAGCCTGACAAAACCTCTACTGTACAAGCAGCCTGCTTTGCCCAACGCAAGCCAGCGGCTCTTGCAGGGCTTCTTGGTCCCAACTGCAGGTCAGTCCTTGCATCTCAGCTTCTTTGGCTAAGAAATCTGTCAACGCCTGCAAAGTGGCAAGGATGGCGGCGCGGAAATCATTCCGGGCTAGGAAGCACCTCGCTTCGCAACTCAGCACCATGAAAGAATCCCAAGACCGTGGCTGGGACATGGACCCGAGATACATGGGATATACTGATTAATATATATATATAATCATATATATATTATATATATACTGTATGGGATGGAATTTCCAAACTCAAGCTGCCCTGCCGGCCTCAAACAAAGTCGTCGACACGTAACGACTGACCTCCACACGTATGTACAGCATCCGCTGGCACAGGCGGATCAGAGTTGCCCAGAGACTTCTGAGCGCCTGGGAAAATCGTTGATGAAAAGGCGAAAACCAAGCAGCTTCTAGAAGAACTTAAGATGTAAGAATATGTAAGAATATCCGAATCCGAATCAGTGCAGAATCAATCATCCATACTTACAGCATCTGCCAAGATCTGCCAAGTAGCAGTGATGATGTAAAAGCCAAAGCCCAAGACCAGCCACCCTCGTTGTTCAGGGCGAGTAATCCACCTGGCAGCATTCGTCGCAAACTGTGGAGATGACATTGAGAGCTTCCTTAAGCAACTTTGCAAAGCCTGGCCGCCCTGGCCCAAAGTGCGGGGCTACCAAGCTAAACCAAGCTACTCATCAATGACCACCACAGCCATGACTACGGTTGGCACCACCAGGGCAAAGAGAATCAAAGCGCTTGCAGCAAACTCTTGAGCCCTTGCAGACACGATGTTCACCTTTGGCACCAGCGAGCTTCGGCCTGCCACCTCGGTGGTCGCGGCGGTTCAAGAGATGCGGCCCCGAGGCCCCGAGATCTGATAGTTCTGAATGTGTGAGAAATTGAGCGTCTGATACTTCTGAAATCATCTGAAAATATCTGAAATATGTTGAATATCCGAATATGTCTCTTTTAAGGTCAGCACATCGTTACTCTCACCGCTCACCGTCATTTCCACATCTGCTGCGCGGGCATTTGGACCTGGACACAAAAAGCTGCGGAGAAATGGCAACACTGCTCAAAGGCCATGACTGAGTTCCAGATTTGAATCGTTAGGCACGGCCGACAGGAGGACGAACTGAACTTCACTGAACAAGACTCGCCAAGACATCTGGGTCTGCAAGACCCCACACCTGGCAGCAACTGCTCTCGAAAGCTTGCAAAGGATCCCCAAAGCCGTAGCCCAAAGCGCATGGCGAATGGGCACTGTGTGAGTGAGTGCGTGTGTGTGTGTGTGCGTGTCACCCTCAATGATTCGATTCGATTTGATTTGATTCGGCTTGATTCGATTTGATTCGATTTTGGATGTTTTGAAATCTTTCCGCTGCAAGGCTACAAGCCTCAAATGATGGTGCGGTCAGAAACGCCTTCAACACATCTTTCACTGGAGGAGAAAGGCGCGGAGTCTTCACACACGCGATTGGCTGGGACTTGTGTTTCAACTTTCAACTGAGTCTTGTGGAGAGATACTAGGTCTCATCAGTTGGCTAAGTGTCTGCAAGCTCAAGAACCTGTCAATCCAAATCCAATAGGTCTGGATCACAACAGAATGTCATCCACACTTCCAAACATCCAACACCCAATCCTTTCACTGATCACAAGTCACGGTCATTTTCCCGACAGCTATATTTCGTCGTCATCGATGCCAAACTTTGGCCCGCTAAATGCTGGCATGGCAAGTGAACCCATGGGCTGAGGGACTGGCCCTGGTCCAATGGCTCCCAATGACCCCAAGGGTGCAATGGGTGCAATGGCTGCACCCAGCTGGCCCAGGGGCATCTGAAAGCCCAGCTTTGGCAAAGTTGGCATAGCATTCAAATCGAGAATCTGCGTTGTGCCACACATCAATTGGTCGGATGCTTTCACCGCATCAACGGTGGCCGTGGGGTATTCCTGGGGACCAAACTGCACGAAGAAGTCCAAGGCTCGAAGCACTTCAGGCACTGGAAGTGGCGATGCCACAACCTGCGCTGCAAGTTCTGTGGCCGTGAGTTGGAAGACCACCTGGGCGACAAGCAGAAAAGATGCTGGATTTCACCAGGGAGATCCAGGGAGCATCCTCTGGAAAGTTGAAGGATGTTGAAGGAAACTCAAAGATCCTCGATTGCATGTTTGGCATTGAGAAGAATCCCTGTATGCACCTGCATGGATTGAAACACCTCTACAATCGCGCGAGTTTGGCTGTTACGGTACATCTTCTCATAGACTCACATCGTACTGAGTCATATCGAGTCATACCAAGTTATACTCATCATGGTAAACCTCTATATCACCTCTATCAAAAACATACTGTGGATGGACAAAATCCTGCACCAGTTGACAGCTATTGACAAGTATGAAGCACTATAAAGAATGGGATAAACATGGGATTAACATGGGATAAACGGATAAACCATCTACCAGGACCTACATTCGGTGCATTGATGAATCCGGTGGCCTCCATTCGGCCAAAGCGATAACGACCGCCGGGTCCAACCAAGCGCTGCAGCGGTGGAAAGCAGGGCAGACGTTTCAAGACCTCCAGCAATGCCGACTCGGTGAGATCTTGTGGCCCCAATGCTGGTGATGACAGCGGTGGCAGCCGCACGATGTCGTTGTAGATGTGAAAATCCTTAGAGTTTTTCTTCGATGATGCTGGAATATATTGAAATATGGAAAAGGATGTAGTAAGGACTCTTGAAGTGCAAAACAGGAACACAGATGTCACATATCTATACATGTTTCATCTTGTATACATCATTGCAGCTTGAGAAAGAACTCAAACTCTTCAAGCTCTGCCAGCAGTTTCCAAGGATCATCTCCTCCATTGGATCCCACTAACTCCAGCAGCTTCGTCAAGGATGTCATGCTGAGAACATGCCGAGGGATCGAATCCTCCAGAAAGAGTGTGATTAGATCCTCAGATGGCAGTGCACTGCAGCTGTTGTCTCTGCCTCATCAGTGTACTCATCGTATCTGCCGTGTGCAGCATTGCGTGCATGTAGTATCACTGGGAAGCTTGGTATCAACTCATGTATCAAATACATTGCGATCTTGCATCGAATAACTTACTGGCCTCTTTAGATTCCACATTGCCTGAGTTGCCAACACCTTCCACTCGTGGATCCGATAAAAACATCCATCTGCCAGGCCTTCGAAGCATGATGTGTCCGCGCAGGGAAAAGGGCTTTGACACAGGATTTGCCAGCTCTCAAGTTGACTCCAACCAGTCAAACAAGCTTGTATAATCTTGTATGTGCGTCTCTACTACACAAGTACACAGACTCATCGCTTGATAGAATTTCATAAGCATAGAAAACTTCTACTCTAACCTTTGATCCCAATTTTTCCACCAAACTTGTTGTTGGAAAGCACCTTCAATAACACAACTTTGTCAACGAATCGTACCTGAAGATCTGACGTAACCGGGAGACCACCTCCGAAAAGTTTGAGCCCAAGATGGCGGTTCCACGCTGGAGGAACTCCTGGTTGATCTGAGTCGTCCTGCTCTGGAGCCAATCCTCCATGAGCTCACCATAACCTTCAACCTCAGATGGCAGTGTGTCAAAACCTTGTACCCCTGTAGTTCACATCAAAATAGCTGATAAATGGATGTTCATCCCACTAAAAATGGTATGTATAGGTATTGATCCATAGCCAATTGACGGGGTTATGATTTTGAACCTGATAAACTGCCAACCTGGTAACCCACCCAAACTAACTTGTTTTTTTTTCATCCGACACCATCCACATCCAACGGCCCCCTTGTTTTGCAAAACTGGCACCCTGAGGTCGTGACGTAAAAGAAGGACCGCCGCATTTGGGCCGCGAGATCAAGGAGGCCAGGCACCCTCGGACAAGTTGTACTAAGCCAACTCATTCGCCATCCGTGAATCCAAGCTGTTCTACATGCTTGGACTATCTATATAATATATAGTGTGTATATATATATATATGTCTGTGAAAAAATGGTAAAACAGGGGAACTGGGACAAGACAGGGTGGAGGTCAGGTGGGAGGCTGTTATGTTTTTGTTCAATGTTGTAAATCTAAATGTTTGACTGTTTCTTTCTGTTAATCTTGCTAAATGTTTCGTCGGAGTTGTTTGATTAATGTTTGGTTTGGATGAGGGTAGGGTATGTTGAGGTTGTTGTGGTTTTACTGTATGAGATAGTGTCCATTAATGTTCATTTGATGCTTGATGCTTTCTTCGTGTCGTTTCATTGTATAGTTTCTTACTTCACATTTACAAATTGGACATTCCAATGTTTCTTTCTTTTTATCACTTAATTCTTCCTTTTTCCTTTCGTAGTATTGTTGAGCATATTGTTTTAAAGTTTCTTTGTGCTGTTCCCTGTATCTGCGTTTGTTTTCTAAACATGTATTACACTGCTTACATTCATCTTTGTAGTAGTCTAACGGTTGAAAGACTTTACATTTAGAACACTGCTTTTTGTCAGTCATTATACCTCTACAATTTTAAGGGGTTATGTCTTTAAGGGGTGTTTAGGGTGGATTACATCATAATATATTTTATTAAGATATTATGAACTAATCGTTAGGTTTAGTGTCTCCACTTTTCATCACCACTACCTATTCCATCCCAACATTGAGAAACAATCGTTTTGATGTTGTAGAACACCAAAATGATTGTGTCTCTAGCAAGTCCTCGTTGGTCAATCAAGTATCCCAATACTGACAATAGTGTATAATAGTTTTGTTGTAATGCTGTCATTCCTCCTCTATGGTGTATCCTCTCACCGTGTTTTTTGATTAAATCTTTATCAAATATGTTTTCATAAATTTCTTTCATAAGGTCGTGGTTTATCTCTCCATACTCTGCGTATTGCTCTAAAGATTGTTTTTGCTTAAGTAGTAGGTCATATTCTACAAAGTTATAATCAGGATAAGGATTTTCTTTTATGAAATTCATTAATCTTTCTCTATCTCTTTTTAGTTCCTCTTCACTAACTCCAATCATTGGCATTTTTCACTTACTATATATAGGTATTTTTTCTTTAAGTATCTATCACTTTTTGTAGGTGTTCTTTTATTTCATCTTGATTAATGTAATGCTCATAGTGTTTGAATAATTCTTTAGTATATTCACGCAAGAAAAGCTTGAATAGGTCTTTTAATCTGAAATCTATATTTCTAAATTCATAATAACGGTTTAAGCTAGGAAACATCCAAGAATTCGTTATTGCTTTTATATTGTGAAGGTCTTCAAGCATTTGCTATGTATGTCCCAAGTTTTTCTTTACATAAGATTTAGCCGCTTGAAGAAATATGCCTTTCTTCAGTGTAGGACTTTTCATAAATATGTCTATTTCTCTTCTCATTTGTCGGTCATTCACATTCTCAGACAAATCTATTGGCGATGCTTCCATCCTTGTTTTAAAGACATATATTTGTTTTTCTGCTACTGAATTGTTTTTTTTATCTTCAAAGTAGTCTTGATTGTATGTTATATATCTATACTCCTTTTCTCTCAAGTCTTTACATTTTGAACAGTGAAGATTATAACTACATATCTCATCACAAATTCCAGCCGGAAAAATGTTGTTCAATAAAACCTTAATGTCAGTCATTTCTTTCTTACAACATCCGCAGTCATTTTTTCTTTAAGTAGTTTTTGGGGGCTCGTTCAGTTTTCGGGTTCGGGTTGGTTTTTGTTTTCCCTTTCCTCCTCTTCCAGTTCCTTTATAACCATATCAATTTCACTCATTCCTTCATTGGGGTCTTGTCCATTGGCGAGGTTTCTTAACCTCTCAAAATCCTTCACTTTGTGTCTTTCATTGGGTGGGAGGGTTTTGAGATGTTCCTTCAACTCTGTCAGGTCAAAGTATGTGTCGTGTTCTTCATCCTCATTTTCCATAAACATTTCCATTCGTTGCTTTTCCATTTCCATAAGTTTGTTTTCCATATATTGGAATTTATTTGCTTCCTGTAGCACTTGCCACACACATTCACAAAGGTTTTGAGCAAGTAGTTCCAATTAGGTTCGTTTCTTCCGTTCAGGGTTATAACATCTGTCATAATACGACATCCACAGTCAAATTTAGTCATCTTATTTAGTCTTACTATATATAGGTATTTTTTCTTTAAGTATCTTTTTTACTGTTGATATTTTTAAAAATCTAATATTATAATATATGGCAAGGAGACTATCAAGAGATGACATCATAAGCAATGTCTATTACAATCTGGAAACGGGCTTCGGTTCAATCAATGAGACCCTCAAGAAAGCAAAGGAACAAGACCAGACCATCAACAGGGTGGATGTGGAAAACTTTATGAGGAAACAACCCAACAAACAGATTAGAAAATACAGGGGTTCAAACTCCTACACCGCGCCCTTCACAAGGTTTGAGTATCAGATTGACATAATGGATATGAAACCCCTTACCAAAGAACCAGAGACGAAAATTCCCATCAAGAACGACGAACCGAGATATGGGTTGGTGGTCATTGACATCTTCAGCAAGTTGGCAAACGTCGTCCCTATGAAAGAAAAATCCGGACCAATTACATTATCGGCGATGAAAGAGAGTTTCAACAAAATGGGTTTTCCAATGTCCGTTTATAGTGATAATGACCGTGCCTTCCAAGCAGGGGTAAAAGACGTTTTTGAGAAAGAAGGCATCACTCACGTCGTCACCCTAACACACGCTAATGTTGTGGAGCGTTTCATAAGGACAATGAAAAATATGATACACGATAGAGTTAGGTTTAATCGCGGTAGTTGGACTGTGATGTTGTCCAAAGCGTTAGATAAATACAACGACACCGTCCATTCATCAACCAAAATGAAACCCAAGGATGCCCACGACGACAAGATCCATATGGACGTCAGGGTGAATTTGACAAGGAGGGAAAAGAACACTCGCAAATATCCAGGGGTCAAAGTGAATGATATGGTCAAGGTCTGTGAGAAGAAAAAAGACAACTACACCGAGAGGAAGGAGTATAACTCAAAGTGGAGCAATCAATCCTACAAAATCGTCAAGATAGAATACGACGACGTCGGAAACAGAACCTTCAAACTGGAATGATTGAACAAACCGTATTTGAGGCACGAGATTTTGAAAGTATAAAAAATTATCTATAATATTAATATATGACAGAGGTAGTCGTAAAAGAGATTGATAATGAAGAACCAAAGGAAGAAACAATACCAGAACCAATACAGGAAGAAGCACCGAAGGAAGAGGAGAAACCAGAAGAAATAATTGAAACACCAGTTCAAGAGAATCCGCAACCAGCAACGGTAGTCCCAAAACCCAAAAGGCTTCGTGGCGGTATTAAAGTCTCTCCTGTTGTTGGCATTAAAGATGATTTCCTTGTTTTCCTTCATCTTCTCCATAACTTCATCTTTAACTTCAATAATCTTTTGAATGAACACATCCATACAATCCTCCCCTCTGTAAAGGAAAGGCTTTGATGAACCATCTATGCTATTGACAACATTTATCATAAAACCGCAGGGTCTGTGATGTTGATATTTATCAGTCTTAACTTCTTTGGTTGAAACTGTCCCCGTCCTTGTGGTCAAACACTCAAAGTCAGCATAGATGACAAAAGGTGCTTTCAACTTTTTATAGTGATTTTTGAAAACCATAATGTCGTCTTCTTTGGGCATCTGTATCTGTTGCCCTTCAACTGCCATACATCCCTTTTCAACGTGTTCATCAAGAAGTTCTTTTGTTAAAAAGCCGTGTTGGCAGTGAAAACAGTGATGTTTCTTTGCTTTCATTTTGTTGGTTTGACTTCCTATTATTTTATCATACTCTTTGATGAATACATAATGGTAGTCATCCCCATCCTCCAGTTTTAGAAGACTGACTTGATGAGATGCTTTTGATACTTTAGACTGTCTGTAAAGTAGGATGGACTGTTTCCCTTCTTCGGGGTCAAGAAAATAAACATTGACTGCTATTTTTCCTCCGTTGTTTTCTTCAAATGTATCTATATCAACATCTGACGAAGGAAAATTCACATTATCCCAGTTCAGTTCATCATTGAGGTTTTTGTAGTGAGACACCCTTTCGGGGTGGTCTTTTTCATAAACCTTACATATACCACATTGAACGGAATACTTGAAACACGTTTCATCTTGATTTTTGATGTTGATACAGGCGTTTTTGTTTGAAACCCATTTAGGTAATGGAATGAACTTACCCCCACGAGTTGGATTGTATTTGTCATAATTGAATTTTAGTTTATCAATCTGGGTTATGACTCATGACTAATCCACTCTCCGACACTTCCATCACCTCCGCTTGGTGCTCTACATCACTTGCCATCTGATTAAGAACATTGGGTATTTCACCCTCGTTGGTGATGTTGTATCTTCTACTCTTGATGACTTGTCTTACATCTTCATTAGTCTTTTTACTCTTCAAAGTGGCGAAGACCTGTAGCATAACCTTCATTCCATTATGTTTCCTCAAATACTCTTTTAACCTCAAATCTTGGTATTTGAGATACTGTAGTGCTTTTATGCCTCTAACCCTGATGTTAGTGATGGCATACGAATTGACATAACCTTTGAAAGCAGATTGTTCGTTGGTGCTGGTTGCTTTGTATCTCATTTGAATGCCTGTGAGTGCTTTGTTCTTGTCCAGATTGACCCATCTAATGCCTCTCTTCTCTTTCAGTTCATACTTTTTGTAGTCCATTGTCTGCCTAATTTTGTTGAATTTTGTTATCAACCTCTTTGAAATGGGTTTCCCCCTTTCAAAGTTGTAGGTCTTGTCTCCAATCTTGAGTTTCTTGAGTTCTTCTCCATTCCGTTTCAATATCTCACCCTTTTCGGATGACAAAAGATAATCTAAAACAATCTGCTGAGA